CTCTCTCCTCCTCCCTCCCTCCTCCTCCTCCTTCGTCAATTTTTTTTTTTTTTAGGGTTTCGAAATTCGCAAGTTGTTAGATCTTGCTCCTCCCTCTCTCTCCTCCTCTTCCTTCGTCCTCCACCTACTCCTCTCTCCTCCTCCTACTCTCTCCTCCTCCTCTCTCCTCCTTCTCTCTCCTCCTCCCTCCTCCTCCCTCCTCCTTCGAAAGTTGGCAGATCCTCCTCCTCCTCTTCCTCCTCCTCCTTCGTCGACTTCTTGTTTTTTTTTTCGTCAGTGAATTCTGAAAAGGGCAGATTCTCTTCCTCCCCCTCCTTGTCCCCCTCCTCCCCTTCTTTGTATCTCCCCGTCCCCCGAATATTTTTTTTTTAATCATAATCAAGGATTTTGGAATTGACTGCGGCAGTCATGTGTGTTTGTGGTGTGTGCAGGTTTTCATGGCGTCTCACTGTACACAAGGACCAACCCGACACCCAAACCTCCCCTCCCCAACCCAAAAAAAAAAAAGAAAAAAAAAGGCTGGCGCATGGCGCGCATGGCAGCACAGCTGTGCTGCGCATGTGCGCGCGCGCACATGCGCACATCCGCCAGACATGCGCAGCGCAGCGCGCATGACTGTCATGCGCCGCAAGTATGCTCAATATGTATCCGGTGATGGTTGTGGTCCCCATGCATTCAAAATGTTAAATTAGTTAGAATGTATCTGGTGACTACACAGTTCAGGCACACGTTAAACCTTGGGTAGTGCAGTGAGGCCCTATGTGACAGTGAACAATAGCTTTGACCAACCGCAGACAAAACCCAAGCCTCCATACGCTGTGATGTTCACTAGCTTCTTGCGCTCGCTCTCTGAATTCAACCAGCATGTACAGAAACGGCCTGTCTTGTAAACTACTGAGCTGGCTTGGCTTCATTACCTGAATGTAGCGAGACCCCACTTCATTAGCTAGTTGATTTAGCATGCCGATGTATTTGCTATGTAATTGATTTAGCATATGCTGATGTATTTGCTACGTAGTTGATTTAGCATATGCTGATGTATTTGCTATTTCCTTTCTAAGGCAAATGATGCCATGCCATCCCATGCCATGCCATGCCATGTCCTTTCGTTCTTCTTTCATCTTTTTGTATCTCGTTTCTCCTCTCTGCTCTCTCCCGTCCTGTCTTGCTCGAAGTTGCTTTTTTCTGACATGGCAGCAGCCAGCTACAACTGCTTATCCCATTCGCCCCTCTGCCAACTCCTCTTCGTCTCTTCTGCCAGGTACACATGTATGTAGCTGGCTGCTGCCAGGTCACAAAAAAGCTAGGTTACCTGATCGGACGTCCGGGACCCCCCTGACCGTCCGGGGTTGTCCGATCGGACAACTGGTCGGACGTCCTCCCCGGGCAGTCTGTCCGAGCCCGAACACCCAAAAAAAAAAAAAAAAAAAAAAAAAAAAAAAGGTCCTCAGAAAAATCTGAAAAACAACTATGTTATACAGAAAAATAAACTGAACAACTTTTGCCTTGGAATCATATCGAAATTCGCTGCCAATTTTAAAATAAAAAATAAAAATAAATAAAAAGCCTTTTTTTTTACTTTTTTCGTGCTTTTAATTTCTGAAAATGGAGTTGTCCGGGCCAGGACGTGCTGCCATCGGACAACTGGCAGCCTAGCAAAAAAGCAGTCGTAGCTGGCTGCTGCCAGGTCACAAAAAAGCAACTTATAGATCGTAGCCTTTGCACCAGCGGCCTTTGTCAGGTACACATACATTGTAGCTGCATACATATAAGTATGTGTACCTGACAAAGGCCGCTGGCGCAAAGGCTTATATAGGGAGCAGGCAACCAAATCTCCCCCATATCCACTGCATTGGAAATTAGCTTAGCCAGTTTAATCCACCTGTTTGGCCATTGGTCTATTGCAGGGCCATGATGAGTTTTGTCTATAATACCTACAGTAGACCTTACAATCACACACCGTATCTCCCTCGTATCCACTGCATGAGAAATGCCTGCACAAACGGTTCTCCAAAAAAGCGCAGGAAAGCGAGAGGCCAGGTATGGGAACGCCGACGGTAGTCAGCAGCAGCTCGACTGACAACCTGCAGAACAAAACCAAAAAGCCGGAGTTCAGTCGACGATTGATATTTGCCTTCACCAGGGTTTTGTGATGCGATACGCCACATCACAAATGTGTAGCTAACTGCGAATGTTTTGAAATTTGAATCCCCCCTGCATATTGCTGCGTATTGCCGCTCGGGTTGTTGCTGCTGCATTCCTCTTCTTCATTCTGTCAGTGATACCGGCCGGTGCCGCTGATCCTGTGAAATGCATCCGGCACCTTACACGATGAGAGGAGCCCCTACTGATGTGGTGATAGGCCAGTCGGTCTATCTGTCGATTGTTCATTGGCCAGTCTGTCGAGGCCGCAGTTTTGCCATCTTCAATGTGTCCATCCATCTGTTTGTGATCTGTCCTAGGCCAGAGGACCCTGTTCCATTGTCCGTCCAGTGATGGTGCATCTGTAGGCGTCTGGTGGCGCTTCCGTCCTAGGCCCTTTTCGTAACGGATGACCCTCAAAACCAGAATATGTTTATATACGACGTACATCAGGATGGTTGGAAAAATACACACCAGACGTATCCCGTACTTCTTGTTCCCACCAACCAGCTGTCGGAAATATTTTGACTACTGAACAGATGGGAGTTATTTCATCTACATGTGTATGTACACCAAGACGTGAGTTGTACTGAATACGTCTGTTCGACTCTGTTGGTATAGGATTGCCCATCTGCCATCCTTATCGATCAGTTGTAAGTGCAGGTAGATGGTCGGTCTGTAACGGGTTGTTCCACACTACGAAAAAGAGAGAGAGAGAGAGAGAGAGAGAGAGAGAGAGAGAGAGAGAGAGAGAGAGAGAGAGAGAGAGAGAGAGAAGGAAGAGATGGAGTGTTGGAGGATGGCGAGTACGGGTACATGGAGGAGGTGAAGCAGGACCATAGGGGCA